TAAAAAGTATGAAAACATGATTGAGTCTTCTACTCAGGACAAGTTCAATGGCGATAGAAAAAGTATGTATTCTTTTTAATATGGTTTGCAAGTTTTCAAGATTGTGGAGTCATGAATTTTATTTAATTACTGTGTTTCTGTGCAATAGGTGGATCATGCTCTCAATAAGAGAAAAGCAGTGGAAGAAGAGACTCATCAGAATTCAGACGATGATGATTGTTTTTTTACTTGCTTCATTGATTCACACCTACTAAGATAGAGACATAGAGGCCACTAATAGCTCTTATTTGAATAAATCTTCAAATAAGGACTGAAGCACATTATACACATTCATATGATCTCATTTCATTTCTCTTATGGAAGTCTGCGCATAACGTTTTTTCTTTTTGTTATCAGTTGATCTGTGTTTACTTCATCACACTGTTCTTCAAAACCAAAAGATATATATTCTTCCCATCTTCATTACTTTTCATGCCTTACTAAACTTGATATTACTCTACTACACTATTGATTACTAGTGAGAAAAACATTAGCTTTCACTGCCATTAATTCAGAAGCAAAACATATAGTACACCTCCATAACATACCAATATACCTAAATTTTTTAAACCATTGATTATTAAGATTTCAATGTGAGATTTTAAACAATTTTAATAATTTATAGTCGTTTGAAAAAATTAAATATAATCTAGAAGAAAAAAATCTTAAACTTTTTATTATATGGTTTAGTGTTTAATATATTTTGATAGTATAAAATGAAAAAAAAAAAGAGAAGATGCACAAATGTTATCAAATCTTTATTATTCAAAGAAAAATTTATTTGACATATATTTTTGAGTGAATTTAGGTAATTTTGAAGATTTTATATAAGAAAATAAGGAATAGTTTTTTTCCGTAGATTACTAATTAATTTATGGTTAGTTTATAAAGTATATTATATGTTTAGATAACAGAACCTACTTTTCTACGGATTCTAATGATGACACATAACATAGTTCACATATTGTAATGGTTCTCAATTAATGTATAAGAGATAGAGGAGAATATATATATGTTTTGGTAAATAATTTATAAAACTTAGTCACTAAGTCAAATTAATTCTTTAAAAAAATTTCCATTTCTTACATTTTATCCTCTTATAAATACAACAGACTAAAGCATATAGCTACACAAATTAATTATACAAAACAGCAGTAATAAATAAAGTCTTTCAAATCTTTATAGCAAAAACAAAAAAGATGAATACTCAGCCTCAAAAACAAAATGGTAAGGGACAGATGCAGGAGCAGCAGGAAAAACAACAACAAGATCTTCCTCGTCCTTCTCCATTTGACGAATTGTCTGCAATTTTTTATCCTCCAAAGCAAGAAACCTCAAGAATTGGTGGTGGTTCCTCTGGAGATAACTCTCTCAAGTCCAATATGCCACCAGGAGGGTCGAGCAATACTGGTTTATTAGGAGAGATCGTGAAGCAAGGAATGAAAGTGAATAAAAACATTTGATTATCATTGTAATTTGGGCGGAATTGTCATTTTTACATTTTCATTGTAAATAAATAAATGAGATGGCATTTGGAATATCATGAGCTTTTGATTATCTATCATAACAATATTATTTAATTTTTTCATTACAAGAAAATAATATGGCATTTGTAATATCATGAGATTTATTTATATATCATAAAATTTGCATCTTAAACAATATTTACTTGCATGCATTTTCATTTGATTAATTAACCTAGTTGATGATATGGCATATATTTTGTCATCGAGGTTGGAATTCTCCTGTGAGTGTTAAAAAGCTAGCCCAACATATTTAACTATTATAAACATTATTTATGCCTTGGCGTGTATATGTGATTTTTTATCACAAAATTAAATTATTATTTTTCAGTTTAGAAAATTCTTCTTACAAATTTTGAATGTATACGTGCCATAAATAAACATATTTTTTTTGTTTTCTTTGGAAATTGGGACGTGCATGAAGTTCCAAAGTTAGGGATTCACTTTCTTATATGGAAATTGAAAATTAAATTTATGATACATATACTCAGAATCAGTATACAATCTATACAGAAAAAGCCATTTAAATCTTAAAGTTGTAAGATGTCTCCATTTAAAATCCAAACTTTCGTTGATCAAGCCAAAAAGAGCTGAATAAAAATCAACAGTTAGGTTTCATCACTTAGCAGGTGCCAGTGGTCTTGTTTCTTGCAATGACTACTGGTGACAACACTGGTTCTCAATCAGCCTAACAAGGTTTGACATTCGCTTGTTTTACTCTCTCTTGGTGTAACATTAAAGTGAGGTTTCTGCTATAGTTGAATTGAGAGACACAGAAGGAGATGCGACTTGCGAGGTATTAATATTGCAAACATTTGGCTTGTGTAGCTATTTTGTAGCGTTCTTTCAATGGATAAGACAGTCTGATAGTAGTGGTTTTACAGATTGTGGTCATGAATTAATGTTTCCTTTTCAGCTCTGTGTGTTTCTAAATTTCATAAAATTGGAGAGTGTGAGTTCCTGTTGAAAATGTGGACAGCAAACACTTGTTCAAGGAAGCAATTCAAAAGCTAGAAACCTTCTGAGGTTAGATATCGCAGCACGTTAGACTTTCAAATAGGTTGAGAGTGAAGCTTCTTCTCTGGTGTGGTAAAGAGTGTTAGGTTGCAAGTTTTGCATGGTTAGCTTTCTCTCTCTTTAAGCTTTTAATATTTTTAGCTTATTTAACTCTGATTTTTTAACACTGGTTAATCATTCATTACAAACAATGAGAAATCTTACATAGACGATATCACACCCGAAAATTCTACCTGCCTTATGCGGATTCACGTCTGACTGCATTACTCTGAGCCCCCATGTGAGATTCATTCCTGACGGTACGCCTTGCGCCATGCTGAAGATCTCTTGTAAGCTTTTTTTTTCAATAATCTGCATAATTCGCCTGCCACCTTTTCCGGGAATTTAAACCCTCTGGGTATAGAAACTGCATAGCCTGGGATTCGAACCCCAGACGTGATGTAGAAGCCTTTAAACATTAACCATTATGCTACGGTGCTTCCACATTTAACTCTAACTATATCATCGATTAAATAATTAGAAACTGAAACTGTTAAAACTAAAATAAGGAAAAGTTTCCTTCTTTGTTTATACAATTGTCCCAAGATTATTATTTGAAATGAAAATCTTTAATCAGATGAGAATGTAACAAAAGACAACATAAATTTAGTTTTAACAAAGGAGACCATATCCTTTCACATGTAATTAACATTCCTATAAAAAAAATTACAAACAATTGAAGACGCTTTGAGATTAATCAATATTTCATTGATACAAAGTGAAAACAGTTAAATACTACTCTAAACCATTCTCGGTGAAGATGACTATGCAGAGAAACAAGCGCAGAGAAACGCAACAACACGAGCAAAAGCAAGAAACCTCAAGACTTGTTGGTGGTTTCAGTGGAGATCACTCTCTCAAGTCCAATGTGTGCTCAAGTGAGTCGAGCAATACCGGATTATTTGAAGAAATCGTGAATGAAGGAAAGAAAAACATTTGAGTATCTATGTAATTTGGGTGGAATTATTGGTTTACCTTTTTCATTATAAATAAAGACATTGATATTTGTAATATATATTCTTGAGCTTTTGAATATTTATTATAAAACTATGTCTTGAAACAGCCACTTGGTACTATAGATCCTAATCAATTCCAATGTCATGATATTGAGTATCAAGAACTGCACCAGCCACAGCCTCTTGATAATATAATTCATCGTCAATCGCAATGTCATGAGATTGAGTATCAAGAACCGCACCAGCCACATCCTCTTGATATTAGCATTCATCATCAATCGCATCAGCCGCAGTTTTGTCAAGCCACATCAAACATAGCCTCATGAGATTGCGTATCATGAACAGCAGCCTCTTGATACAGTTCAGGATCATCCCCCACAGTGTTTTGGTCTGCCCCTTTGGATTCACATCCACCGCATTGTCCTGATATTCAGCACACACAACTGCAGCCTCTTGATGCTATTGAGTATCAATACCTCTATCAATCAGGTCCATTAAAAAGTATGAAAACATGATTGAGTCTTCTACTCAGGAAAAGTTCAATGGCGATAGAAAAAGGTATGTATTCTTTTTAATATGGTTTGCAAGTTGTCAAGATTGTGGAGTCCTGAATTTTATTTAATTATTGAGTTTCTGTGCAATAGGTGGATCATGCTCTCAAGATTCATTTGAGGCCAAGGGAAGTTAAGAGAAAATCAGCGAAAGAGGATTAGATGAAGAGGAAGAAGAAGAAAAAAGAAGAAGTCATTGAACCATCAAAAGAGGAGCCTGAGCAGCCCATCAACTCTCATCAGAATTCAGACGATGATGATTGTTTTTTTACTTGCTTCATTGATTCACACCTACTAAGATATAGACATAAAGGCCACTAATAGTTCTTATTTGAATAAATCTTCAGATACGGACTGATGCACATTATACATATTCATATGATCTAATCTCATTTCTCTCTACGGAAGTCTGCTCATAACGATTTTTCTTTTTGTTATCAGTTAATCTGTATTTACTTCATCACACTGTTCTTCAAAACCAAAAGATATATATTCTTCCCATCTTCATTGCTTTTCATGCCTTCCTAAACTTGATACTTCACTCAGAGCCTGCGAACGTTTATAACTGTAAAATTATAAGCGCGATCCAGTTAAAATCATGGTAACACCTATTACTATAGACTAGAAACATGTAAATTAAACTAACGAACAAATATTAATTAAAAAAGATATATTTAATTTGAAAAATTCAAAAAATTATTTTGTAATTAATTTTTTTATAAATAAAATAACTAAATCAGTCTATATTTTTTTGATGAAATTTTAAATCAGTCAATGTTTCTTATGTAATATTTAAACAAGTGTAAAATTTTTTCAGTTCTAGCATTAAAAATATTTCAAAAGCCACTCTAACTATTATTTTCTAATAATTAACAATGGTCTTCGTTTTGTTATTTAAGAAACTCAAGTGTTTATCACAAATCGAGTTTTTCTTTATTCTAATTACCACAGTTTTTCTTTATTCTAATTACCACAGTGCTTTAGTCATATAAAATCAATATTTATTTAAATTATCTTAATGCCTCGGGATTTAAGAAAAGATAGATATTTGAGTTAGCTTTCTAATGCCACTGGTCTGGGGTCAATCAGCATCCTGTATCAGAAGTTATGCACATTTTACTGAGTATTGGTTAGTCTGCCTAGCGAGAGAAAGCTGTCGAGAAAATAAACGAAAATTGATCGATGCAGCACACTTGACATCGATCGACATGGATACCAGAATGTGGTCCGAGTATGTTTTATGACTGATTTAGACCCAGGAGTTACCACAAATTACCATAATGCCCCTATACGACCTGAAATCCTATTTTACTGTTTTCTAAGCCATCATTGACAACTATGCTTATTTTTGTATGAAGAGAGAGCTTTGGATTGGAGAGAGAGAACTGAAGACCTTGAGAGAGAGAGAAGATCTTGAACGCCCTTTGTTTCTTTACTCTTGTCTCTTTATTATTATATTGCAATATTATTCTCTTTTTTTGTTCAACATATTGTAATATTATTCAAACCATCATAATGTTCCTTATGAATATGTCTGAGTAGTTCTCTTGTTAGATTTAGGTTTTTTCAAAGGTTGATTTATGGTTTGCTAAATATGTGTTTTTGTTAGGGGTTATTTAATTAGTTCTTCATATATCTTATTTTAGGATTGATTGGTACAAGTGAGAGCTTGGCATGTTTCCTGAATAAGACTAGTATGATCTGATTAGCTAGGTGCATATAAAAGTTGATCTAGGTGGTTAGGGAACACATCAACCCATTTGATACAGCTTTCTAGAATTAGTATTAATCGACGCTCCATAGGATACATTGATCGATAGTCAATACCAGACATCGATCGACAATCCAGAGGGGACATCGATCGATATTCCCTTAGGACTCGCACACGCAAGTTGGATTCTGAGGTCTAAGCATTAGATAATCCATGCATTCGAAAGTTGATAGATTATAACTTAACAAGTTTGAGTTCGAGAACAATTGATATTCATAAACCCTTTATAACCATAAATTGCATACTTATCATACCTGAGAACTATCTAAATCTAGCTATCTTCCAACTTGTTAACAACCTCAAATCAATCATCTTTGCAACTACCTTGCTCACCTCATTTATTTACTCTTTTAAACCATTAAACCAATTTCCAGTCTAGCTTTATTTTAGATACTTTAATCTATTGTGTAATCTTATAGTCTCTGTGGATTTGATCCCTAAATACTACAACTAAACCTCTTATTTGAGAGAGTAATTCACTACTTAGGGTAATTTGAGTGATATCATGGAGCCTTGAATTTATTTTAATTATTGTATTTCTGTGTAATAGGTGGATCATGCTCTCAGGATTCATTTGACGTCAAGGGGAGTTAAGAGAAAAGCAAAGGAAGAAGAGGATGAGAAGAGGAAGGGAAGGGAAGTAGAAGAAGAAAGAAGAAGAAGTGTTGAAGCATCAAAAGAGAAGCTTGAGAAACCCATCAACTCTCATCAGAACTCAAACGATGTTGATTGTTTTTTTACTGGCTTCATTGATTCACACCTACTAGATATAGACATAGAGTCGTCCATCAATAGCTTTTGTTTGAAGAAATCTTCAGACAAGGACTGAAGACCATTAAACACATTCATCTGATCCATCTCATCTGTCTATGGAGATCTGCTTATAACTTCTTTTTTTCTTTTTCTTAATTCTTGGTCAAGCTGTTTGGATAACAATGTTCTGTTTATGGGTTTTTTTATCAATTGATATTTTTTTACTTCATCACACTGTTCAACAAAACCAAAAGATATAAATTCTACCCATCTTCATTGCTTTTCATGCCTTACTAAACTTGATACTTCACTCAGAGCCTCCGAACGTTTATAACTGTAAAATCATAAGCGCTGTTGAAAAATTATTTCATAACTTCTCCAGTTAAAATCATGGTATTACTATAGAGTACAAACATGTAAATTAAACTAACGAACAAATATTAATTACAAAAATATATATTTAATTTGACAAATTAAAAAATGATTTTGTAATTAATTTTTTTATAGATAAAATAACTAAATCAGTCTATATTTTTTGATGAAATTTTAATCAGTCAATGTTTCTTATGTAATATTCAAACAAAAGTAAAATTTTATCATTTTTAGCATTAAAAATATTTCAAAAGCCACTCTAACTATTATTTTCTAATAATTAACAACGGTCTTCGTTTTGTTATTTAAGAAACTCAAGTGTTTATCACAAATCCAGTTTTTCTTTATTCTAATTACCACAGTTTTTCTTTATTCTAATTACCACAGTGCTTTAGTCATATAAACTCAATATTTCTTTAAATTGTATCTTAATGCCGTGGCCTTTGTATAAGATTAATTAATTAGTAAGAGATGATGCTCTTAAATATTTGTAAGAATCTGATGCCGTAAGCAAATGTTTCAAATTTTCGTTACTGAGGCAGGCTCTGACTACACTAGTCGTTACTCGTGAGAAAGAAACATTAGCTTATTTTTTTCTCAAAAAAAAAACATTAGCTTTCACTACCATTAATTTAGCACCAAAACATACACTACAGTACAGCTCTACGACATACCAATTTACCTAAAAAAATTAAGCCATTGATCATTGAAATTTCAGTGTGGAAGTTTAAACAATTTTAGTAATTTATTGTGTCTGAAGAAATAAATATAACATAAAAGAAAAAAAATCTAGATTTTTGAATTGATATGGTTAATGTGATTTTTGAATTTATTCTATTAGTATAAAATCAAACAAAATGATAGAGGATGCACAACTTTCTATCTAATTTTTATTATTCAAAATCATTAGTTTTCATATATATATATATATATATTAATTACAGTAGGTAATTACAAAACCTTTATTTAAAAAAAATGAGGAAGATTTTTTTGTAGATTACTAATTAATTTTATGGTTAGTTTATAAAGTACTAGACTACAACCTTCTAGCTAGTGTAAAATTATTGTATTAAAAATAATTCAATTAAAAAATAGGAATCAATTTCTCCAAGTTTTCTAAAAACATATATGAATAGCTAAAAACATTAAACATAATACATATAGAAATGAGGAAAGATAAATATTTGGAATCATGTTTAATATTAATTGAAAATAACAGAAAAAACGTAAAAATTTAAAATTAATCATTTTATTTCATTTACGTGTAATCTAATTTTTTATTTATTTACGAATCGTATTAAAATACATAAGTTTTGAGCTCTAAATTATGTACCTAATTTCTTAAAATCTGATTTCAGCGTCCCATATCGATTTAAATTACATTAATCGATTCAAATTGGTCTAATTCAGTTAAATCAGATCATGCCAAAAATGAATTATGACTAATGTTATTATATATCTAAATAACGATTTTTTCTCTGTATTGTTAATTCACAAGATTATCTTATATATATTTAGTATATTCATTTTTTTATATTTCATTAAACTAATTTTCGAATTAACCATATTAAATATAATATATAATCAAAATTTTGTTGATGCAATCCGAATAATAGATCTAGTCACTAGTTCTTTGTAAAGTGTTTAGTTACCGCATACTGAATTCTTGAATATGCAATTCATAGAAAACTTGTAAACCCCAAATCGTTTTCTTTGAAATATGCAATGACCGGTAAAGAGCGGACCGCCAAGAGAATTTGTCATTGTGACATTGATGAGTTGATTTTTAAAAAGTTTCTCACAAAGAATAAGGAAACTATTTTTGAACTTTTTGATACGCTTTTGAGACTCTCCTAATATTGGTTACCATTACATTCATAGATATCATCTATCTATCTATTCTATTAAAATAGAGTCATTCTTTTTATCTACTGATACAAGTTGTCATATAAATTTGGACCCTTTCTAGAGTGTTACAAATAATAAAGTTATATAGTTGATTGAACCGCATTACTTAAATTAAACCAGCGGTTATTTATGGAATAGAGTTTTGGGCTTACTTTTGTTTTTATTACATTTAATTGTTTGGTTTTTGGGCTTAGTATTAAAGAAAAACTCCAAAAAATATTAAATAAACTTTCCACCTTAATGGATCAAAAATCAATTACTATTTTCAGGCCCAAAAATATTTAATATTTTCAAGAAAACAAAATTATCTATTATTAATAACTTATTTAAATCATGTACTTTTTAAAACACATTAATATTTTTTAGCCCAAAAATATTAATATTTTCAACAAAACAAAATTATCTATTATTAATCACTTATTTAAATCATTTACTTTAAAACATGTTAATATTTTTTTATTTTAAACAACAATCACTCTATCTTGATAAATTTTAATGGCAACTTTTAAATAATTTATTTTTTTATTTTTCTTAAATAATTTACAGATTTAAAAAAAAATGTAAAGCAAAACCAAAAACAAAATCTAAAAACTAAAATCCAAAACCAAAAGCTCAAAACGCAGGTTATATTTTTTAATTTTTTATTTACAAAATAAACTATTTCAAAATTTTTAGAAAATTATTTTGTCATCTTTTCAGTTTTAAATTACATGTTCGATTAATTGAGATTTGTTTGTTGGCAATATCAGTTCAAACTAACTCAGCGGGTCTAAAAATTAAAAACCCAAACCAAAAGCTGAAAATCAAAAATAGAAACTTAAAAACTAAAAACCAAAAACCAAAATTTAAAACAAAATGTAAAAATAAAAACTAAAACTAAAAACTAATGAAAAACAAATATCACCACAAATTTTGGTAAGCTAATTTTATACCAAAACATTCTTTAAATTAAGACAAAACTCAATTATATAAATTTTTAATCTTAAAAAAATTCCGAGCTTTTCAAGCGTGGATCAAAATCTAGTTTTAATATTATTTTGAAGTAGAAATCTTATAAAGTGTTAACTAATATTGATGGTCAAAACATCCATAAATTTATTGTTTTGCTCATTATATCCGGCAGTATAGATAATCTTAAAACAAAAAAAGTATAGATTATCTTCTCTCTTTTTTTTTGTGGAAAAGGGTTTTCTCTATAAATAGAAAACAATATGACAAGGTAGTCTTTGATTGGTTAACACTTTTTAAAGAAACTCTTTTGTAGTTAAAAGAGGGCATCATTATCGCCATCCTTAGCTAGGGTTTTTAGTGAAATTAGGATTAAAAATAAATCAAAATTAGTTATTATTAGAAAAAAAATTCCTTACAAAAATGTCTCTTGTGTGAGTGAGTTTGGCTTTTTTCTCTCAACATCTCTCTCTCTTTCGACAGGAAGTGATGATTTTTTTTCTGGAAAAAAGTTTCTCAACTACACGAAGTTTACACTAATATGGTGAAAACCATCCAATGTATAAAAACGTATCAAGAACTACACGAAGTATATGTTAATACATGCCACATGTACAAAGTAAATGATATTATAGTGGCAACATCACAATCGGGTTTATTTGATCTTAAGCTAAGTTAATGGGGTCAATCCATAATTTATGAAATTTAATAAACTTGATTGATTTAAATTATTAAACTTCATAAACTTAAGAGACTTAACAAACTTAATAACTTATAAACTTAATAAGTTATTAAACTTAATATACTTAATAAACTTAATGATTTATTAAGTTTAATAAAGTTTATTAAGTTTTAAAAAATTATTAAGTTTATAAAGTTTAGTAAGTTTAAAAAAAAATATTATGTTTAATAAGCTAGAATCCTAAAATTAATAAACATAATAGTTTAATAAATTTTATAATTATTAAACTTAATAAATTTATTAAATTATTATGTTTATTAATTTTACATTCTATCTTATTAAACATAATAATTTTTTAAACTTAATAAACTTAATGATTTATTAAGTTTAATAAATTTTGTTAAATTTTTAAAAAAATATTAATTGTATTAAGTTTGTTAAGTATATTAAGTTTAATAACTTATTAAGTTTTAAAAAAAAATATTATGTTGATTAAGTTTATTAATTTTATTAAGTTTTTCTAAAAAATATTATGTTTATTAATTTTATTAACATTAATAACTAAAATCAATCAAGTTTATTAAATTTTATAAATTACGGATTGACTCCATTAACTTAGCTTAAGATCAATTAAACCCGATTGTGATGTTATCACCATAATATCATTTAATTCGTACATGTGGCATGTATTAACATATATTTCGTGTAGTTCTTGACACATTTTTATACATTGGATGGTTTGCACCATATTAGTGTAAACTTTGTGTAGCTGGAAAACTTTTTTCCTTTTTTTCTCTCCACATCTCTCTCGATGGGTCGCCTTGGTGACTCCTCTGTTTCCTTTATTGTTTTGTTCTTGATGTTTCTTCATTGTTGTTGTTGTTGTTGTTAGATGAGCGCTGTCAAAATCTGTTTCTCCATCTTCTCCCCGAAATTGAATTAAGATTAATACTAATTTAATCCATTAGAATCTGAATTTGATCATGCTAGTTTTTTATTCAGATTAAGAGCTTGTGACTTTTTTGGCTTAGGTATTGCTTGAAACGCATTTTCAGCCAACTTAAGAAACAACACTTTGTTGTGGAGCTTGATCTCAGAGGTATATGTATCACTTTGTTTTCTCCCCATTCTCCTTCGAATTTTTTGAAATAACTTGTCTTATTTTT